CTCAAAGAACCAGTTCCTAAATAAAGTTCTCTAATAGAGATTATTCTTAGAGGTTATTCTTTCCTGGCAAAGACACACTGATAGGAGCAACAAGTGAGAACTCAGCTACAAGAAGCCATATGGTATGTAGTGAGTGGTCAGCACAGCTTAATATTTATTGGCTAATTTTTGTTTTGTTTTGTTTTCTTGTGTTATACTCTGTATTTTCTGGCTCTGTCCACAGCATTCCCAGATTCAGGCTGGTTTCCAAGGGGAGTAAATGCAGTGTCCTTTGAATTTCGTTAATGGTTTTTTGCTTCTAATTTTTGTGTCAATGCACAAAAATTAATCAAGGGGACTGTTAGTGCACTGTTTAGATACACTAAACTCAGAGCAGGACCTAACTCCATTCCTCCACTACATGTGAAAAAACATTTTTATTAATTTTGCTACCTTAATTTTGGTGAGGTGATAATTTGCTTGTTCTAGTTGATACTTCCCTTTCTTTCTTTCTTTCTGTCTGACTGTCTTTCTGTCTTTCTTTCTTTCTTGAGGATACTAGTGATGATGACTATTATTAACATCAGAGCCTCCTGAAACCAGGGCCAAAGCATTAAGGGTCTCAGCCCTGAAGAGTGTGCTCTATAAGGAGGCAAGAGGTGAAGAAATGAAGTGTCATGGACTAGGCAGTAGAACGGTCATAGATCCATACGCTCTGCCTACTGGGCTAACTGGTGGGTGTAGGGCATCACACTAAACAGCCTATTGCTTGCATTTGTAAGTAGCTGTGAGAACGGAGGTGAGAAGGCAAGCAGCTTGACTTCCCTGCCTGGGGAAATGGGTCTGTTTCATGCGCACCTGGAGCTCAGGACTATTTCTGATACAGCTACGTGTTAATGCCTGCCCCATTCATGATATCTCCTGAACAAAACACTATAGCAAGTTTCTTTTTTTATAAAACAGAGACAGCATACTTCACTGTCCCTCTTTTGGGACATAAAGAAAACAGTAAGTGCTAAGCATAACCATTTTACCAGGCTGGAAGTCATATAAGGTTCAAAATTGATAGGTATTTTATTTAGATCATATAAATAACACTCGAGGCCTGATTCAGACACTTGAAAAATGACTTCAGGTTGTTTGATACAGTAACACCTCGCTCATCCCAAGTTAAACAAATCAAATAGAACTTGCTGGGAAGCCGTGTGGGGTAGGCTGGAGAAAACAAAAAAAAAGATTAGAAAAAAATGGGTTGATTTGTGTAATGTTAAAGCAATACAGATTAAGAACCTTCAAATACAGACATATGAATATCTGTCTATTATAACATATGTATATGTTACATAGTGATTATCACAAAGAAATGTTAGATAGTTCATCATAAATATGGAGGATAAGGCAGTCAGTATGGAGATACAAGAGAAATTTTAAGATCATGGTTAGAAAAAAATCTGTCTGACACTGAAGAAAACAAAGCACTGGAATTTTGCCTGAGGAGGTTGTGGGATTTCCACAGCTGGAAGTTTCAAGAACAGGCTTGATAAATAGCCACCAGATGTTCCAAATTAGAATGTTCCTAGCATGCTGTGGTTGAACAAGGTAACACTTTTTGTTGTCCATTTCTTCAAAGCTATTGCACTTGCCCCCTACCTCTCCTCCACTAGTCTCTCCTCACAACGCACAGACACAAAAAGAGGAACTGTAACTGCAGGACTCCACAGCAATTTCCAGCTTTACAAATTCAAGATCTTGCTGCCACCACTCCCGCTAACCACCCTCGCTTTTCCCACATGTTATGTGCAGTTGGCAGGCTGCAGTGCCGCAGCTCATCTGGTTCAGCATTTTGGTTTCCTGTGGAAAGAGAACAAGACACAGAATCCTAATCTGAGAAAGACTTCCTGAGCAGAATAACTCTTTTTAAAGAAAGATTTCTTCTTTTCCAAACTGCCCTGGAAACATTCAGGAATCTTTCTAAAAATGATTCCAGTTTGAGCCTACAAGCATCATTTCATTCCACTGACAGCTCGCTCTGCCCTGGGGCGTACTGAGAGCTCTTGGTTTGCCCCTGCTTTTCACAATTTGTGACTGCTGGTGTTGCCTCACCTAGATACTTCAATTGTTTTTAGCAGGAATACCCCCCAGCTATGAGGAGAAATACATGCAAGTCAGACTTGTTTAGGCCTGTTGTCCTGGTCTCTGTAGCTGGTGGGGCTCTGGCTTTCACCCAGCCCTGCTCTCCTTCCCAGGCTCCCAACACTTCTCCTGCTGAAAACTCTTTACCTGGAATAGCCAGATAATGAATTATCAGATAAAAAAATGCTTTAGAAAATTGTCTAGACCTAAATGTCCTTGTATTAGCTTGCATGAACTCCAATCATTTTTGTATGTGATTATGGCCCACTTGAAGTACAGATCGAATGCAGCATAGTCAGAGTTATGTCCCTATTAACAGTCAGAAAATGTTGATTCTCTTGGCTGAACAGTCAACAGTTGAAGACCTCCCAGTTTGGTGTCTCCACACCCTTCTCAGGAAAGCAGCTAACAGTTATCCTTGCAGTTAGGTTGCTACAGATGTCTAAACTAGAGTTTTTGCTGTACTGTACTCCTTTCCTCTCTTACAGTATACGGAAAAATTTTAAAAGCATCAAGTAAAACAGCAGAGTTGTAAAAATAACCCAGGACATTAAAAACCTAGTAGTTTCTACTAGTTCCTTGGCGTGAATGGATTGTTTGCATGACAAATACAGTGGCAGGCTTTTTTTTGAAAAGGAATCATTCAACTTGATGCAATGGTAGATTTGAACAACAGGCAGAATACCTCAAGCAAAACACATTTGGCTCATATGTATTCATAAGAAATTCATGAAAAAATTTCAGTATTGCTAAAGCATGCATGTCTATGGCAGTAATGTCTTAAACAGATTTTTGAAAGCAAATATTTGAGCTGACTTTATTTAGGTGTCTGCTGATCCTCATAGGCCTCTGCTGATTCACTATCTTGTGGCCACCCCTGTGCCATGGAGTCCCAGAATCTACACCTCCATTTGTGGTCCAGTTGTACCAGTTAGCTGTTCCTTATCTGAGCAAAGTATGCATGTGGGCAATGCAAGAAAGGGAAGAACGAATCTCTGTTTCCCATGTTGGTCATGTTTATTCTGTAAGTTGTCTTAGAGTGTCTTCAACACAGCTGTAGACAAAACTAGACCTGCTGTATCTGCACCTGCTCTGATGCCTCAGGTGATAAACAGACTAGGCAGATGGGAAGCCTTAGGCTAAGCACATCCTTCCAGATCCTTGGCTACAAGAAAAGCCTGGCTTAAGTCAACTCTGCATGAGAGGTTCTAATCAGCTCCTGCTGTGAAACAAGCTCTGGCAGGACTGGAGGCTGTGAAGCAGTTCTGCTTGGAGTGAGTTGCAGAAGCCTGGAGTGAGTTGTGCTGCCTTACCCCACTATCACTGACAGCCATTTCTTGCACATTCTCTGTCCCGGACTCAAAATATTGTCCACCACAGAAATTGCTTTGTGGAGACAGCTGCAAATACTTTCCTGATGGCAAGGACAATGAGAAAACCATTTTGCTTAAGGAACTAGGGATAGGATGAGCAGCGGCTGTCCATGGTTCCATTAGGGCAGGGCCTGCAGCCTGTCCTGCCCTTCATTCCACCAGAAGCATGGCACTGGGGGCACTGAGCACCTCCCTTGGGTTGGGTACAGACTGAGGCCATGCCATGGGCCTGCAGTGGGACAGGGTTGTGGGAAGCTGCAGCCTGGCCCTGCTGTGGCCTCACTGGGGCTTGTGGCCCTGGGTTGATGTGGGAACTGGGCCTGGGGGCGGACAGGGATGGGCAAGGTTGGTGGTGCTTCTGAAGAGCTGATAATCACAGGACTGGGGCAACAGGAGCTTTCCTCCCTGTCTTGCACCTTGTCATAACTAAAAATCCCTTTTCTGCATACAGTGCAGTTTCTTTTGTTATAAATACCTCCTGTGTAGAAGATGTCTGTTTAGCTTCACATCTTTTATGCGCTTTCCTATTCTCCCCAAGCCAAGCTGGCATTCAGCACTCACTGCAGGGAAGAATCCAAGGCTAGAGCCATTTCTGGAGAGAAAAAGTCAGTGAAAGCAGTTTCTTTCAATGGAGAAGCTGAATATTCAGGATACCTGGCTGCCTGCTATCTCTATGCCTGCAGATGTACAAATATAACACTCATAAGGACCTTTTCCATGATTTTTTTTTCCGTGCTTACATTCATCATGTCCTTTCCTGCATGGTGCAGGACTGGGAGCTGGGTTGGCACAGGGAGTATTGTTGCAATCGCCTCTTGGAAACTTTGGGACAAACTTACTCATTCCTCTTAGACATTTCATTAACTAAGGAGATAATAATCTGCTATGACATTTCTTAGTACAAGTTTTACTGGCCTGAAAGTAAATGTCAAAACTGTATGTAAGGCCACAGTGAGCTACGTACTGGCCAGTATCTTACATGCAACAGTGACTGGACTATTTAGCCTTACATTTTCTTTGTCTCCCCTGTATGTCTGTCTGGTCTGTCTGCATGTCTGTCTTAGGTACTGTGTTGAAATTTGTTTTTTTGCCCTAAGAAGGACCTCTCTGTAAGGGGAATCTTATTCTTTCTCTTTTGAGGAAAGCATTTCTTATCCACATCTCTTTATTCTCCACAGTAAAAGTGACAGTAATCAGCTGTGTATCCAGCCACAGTCCTCTTTTTAGGAAATCAAACAGATTTCTAGCTATGTCAACTGGGCTGATAAAAAAGCATCTGTTTGGCAGAGAATAATGCTGGAAAACTTTTTTTTAAAAGCAAATCAATATTTTGAACGACTTTGTAAAGTACAATGGCTGCCATAAAGAGTAGGATGGAACGGTGTATGGGAACTGTTGAGTTAGGGCCTGAACCACTGATTGAGCACCTGGGCAAAGGACCCGATCAGCCCTGGGAACACAGGTGAAGGCAATTCACCTCATTTAAGGGCTGACTGCCACTGGGGATAGTCTCTGGTTGGAGATCCCTCTCTTGTGGACTTTTCCCTGTGAGCCTAGATCTTTGGAGATGGGTAAGCACCTTTCCTTTGTAAAGCCATTCAATTTGTGCTAGTCCCTTTGCTACTTTACTCCTGCCCTGCCACCACACTGACACTTCTGATTGCTACAAACAGAATGGAATATGAGAGAATAGTTCAGTTGGAAAGGACCTGCAAAAGTTACCTAGTCCAACTGCCTGACCAGTTTAGGGCTAACCAAAACTTAAAACACATTAATGAGGGTGTTGTCCAAATGTCTCTTGAACACTGGGTGTCAGGCATCAATTGTCTTGTTAGGACAAACCCAACCTTGGCCATCCTCAAGGCACATAAATTTCTCTTGACATCTAGTCTGAATCTCCTCTGGGACAGCTTTGTTCCCTCATGTGCTCTTACTGGCACTTCCCTCTGCGCTTCCCCTCCTCATGGAGCTGCTGAGACCAATAAGGTCATTTCTTAGCTTCCTCTTCTCCAGACTGGACAACCCCTGTGTTCTCAGCCTCTCCTTACATGGCATGCTTTCTAGTCCTGTTACTAGCTTTAGTTCATCCTCTGAATGCTTTCAAGGATCTTGATTTGACATCCTTCCTATATTGTGGAGACCAGAACTGCACGTGATATTCAAGGTGAGACCAATACAATGTTAAATACAGTAGGAGAATCATCTTTTTTAACTGGCTAGCTGTACTGTATTTAATGCAGTAATTAGACATGACTAGCATATTTCCTATTTAGATTAAATCTTCTAGCAAAAATGGCAGAGGGAATCAATACAGAAATAAAATTGGTTTTTGGAAGACGTAGAAAAAATGTTATCAGTTACTATGACATATCTGTAGGATTACTAAGTACAACACAGATGAAATCATGGGCAAGTGCATAATGATTAAGATGAAATAAAAATGATTTTTTTTTAGGGGAGAAATATTGGCAACTGCATTTATAATGTATTAATAGGTTTGGAATGGGTGTTGTTTCTTAATTGGGTTTGAAAGCTTTGTAAGTAAAGTAATAGAGATGTGAGTCTCATTTTCATGAAGTGTAAGTCAAAACACTTGTAAAATTCACGTCAGACTATTCTTATTCTTCCAATGAGTGGTTTCATATAAAATAGTATTTATTAATACTATATACATATTATTAATAAAAATATTAATTTTATTAATACTATATGTAGTATTAATAAAAAAAAAACAGCAAAAGTCTACTGCGTATATCTTCTAATTGATATTACTTTTAAATGTACATGTAAAGCACACATCTTAATGATAAAAACTGTTCAGAAGAAAAGTAACTGTTCACTCTGTACAGTTCTTTCTGATGTATATCATCTACTTAGCTCTTGCCAAAACAGTGGGCGTGATATTGTTAGGATTATACTTTGTTAGAGAACTTACTCCATACTGATAATTCTCATGCCATTATTCTCTTTCTACTGTGCATGTGTACATTTATTATAATAAATCTAGTAGCTTCAACACAGTTTTTTAGGGAACAAATCTACAATTACCCTTCTTCATTTGTACAGAATATCCAGTGTGGGAAGTAACTGGGTTATTTGTTCCAAAGCTTTCTCAGATCTTCAGAGAGAGCAAAAGTAGTAACTGGGGATATGGGGGTAAAAGACGCAGTAACATTTTAACTGATAATATACAGGCAAAGTGCCTTTAGGACAGAGATGAAAGAGTGCTCTGCTGTGCATGTCCTTGCTAGCAATTTTTTAATTGAAATTTGGAAAATAGATGTTGAAGAGAAGAGATGAAAGGTTCATTGGCCTTTGAAATCTATATTGACTACAAAGACATAAAGCAAGCATTTATTTATTTATTTATTTTTAAGAGTTAATGTGAACCAAATCACAGGCTCCAAAATTCACAGCTCAAACAGCCTGAAGTCCTTAAAAACTGATTTCAGTCTATTCTCTGCTCTCCAGGGAGAAGAGCAGGGTGGTGAAAATCTTGTGCAATGAATATTTGAGTCTAGTCCAAGGTAATCGTTATTTACTCACAGGGTGAAAATTATTCCTTGGGCTATGAATGGCAGATGATCTTTTGGATCTACTGACACTTCTTTACAGCCTGACAGTCTTTGTCTTAATGATTGCAGCTCACTATATTGTCAGACAGAAAAATAATTCTTTTTTTTTTTTTTGACACAAACTGGGACTAATGATGTTGTGTGGATGCAGAGATGACCATGGTAGAATGAGCTACTGAGGAATGAATACAGAAGTCCAAAATGAAACATTAAAATAGCCACTCAGAAATTCCTAGTTTAATATTCAAAGCATGGCAAAGAGTAAGTTGTGCTAAAATGCATTGCAGATTTGTTTTCTTCTGTTTGTTTTCTTTGTTGCATGTCTGAAATTATCAGTAAGCAGTAAACTTACTTGCATATGCATAGCATCTGGGAAAGACAATAATTCTCCTCCTTAGCAGTCCCTGTGATGGCTGTCAGGTAGGTTCCAAAGCATGTAAACTGCCAGTGCTGTGTCCTGCTGACTGAAAGAGGCTTTCACAAGTCCCAAGCCCAACTATGAAGAAATTTAGCATCCAGCAATGCCTTCATGCCTTTATGACCTCTGGCAGCCACTGGGAGAGATCTTGAAGTGTAGCCATTAATAATAATGCAGGAGGTCAGTGAAAGTGTTGAGAATGCAAAAGACCTAGAACAGTGCAACCTTTCCGTAGGTTTCCATGAGAACTATTAGTGTGTAATGTTCAGCTACACACAGAGCAGGATGTTTTGAATGGGTTCTTCCCATGTATTGTAGGATACACTGAAAAACTGAGCATACCAAAAGAATGTAGCAAGCTGTCAGTTTGATGACTTATCAGTATTCATTTACAGTAATTTATAGTGGATGACATTTCTTTTTAATTTGTAGAATATAATATAAATCCAACAAAGTGCTTAGGATCTCATGCTTCAAATATGCATATGGCTTTCCAGGAGAGGGCAGTCCATTCCCAGGACCAGCTGGCTCCCATTATGTTCTTAATCCAAGAAGTGTAACCAGAAATTCCAATAAAAAGAGAAAGTGTCTTAGATGGAGAACAACCAAGGCCCCCAAATGTATTCCATATTGGAAAAATCTGTCTTGGAAAAGAAAAACTATCAGTTTGTTTCTGTATTCTGAAAGATGAAAGAATGTAAATGTTAGTGACATCACATTGGTAATTAGTAATGTGCAGAAAGGGGGCACGGAAGTGGATATATCACCACAGCTGCACAAGGGTAAGTAAACAGCACAACCTGAGCTTTCACAGGGGAAGATTTTTCCCTATCTATTATGGAAATATAAATTGGTATGCTATGAAGAGCTCTAGAGGCAGCAAGGAGTTAAGACTGACCTCTTATTTCATTTTTCAATTCATTTCAATTTATGCTTCATATTTTTTATGGAATGATGTGAGGGGGTATTTCTGAGGAAAAAATAATGCAGTGAGTCACTTCGCTTACATTTCTTCTCTTGAAATCCTCCCTGTCCTTTCTCAACCTGTCTCTGCCATGGATGTGACTCATCCAAAAGAGCCTTGAACTCTGTTCTGCTGTAAAAGCAGAACAGTCATATTGACAAGAAATTGACTCTGCTGTAGTTTACCTTAACAGCATCTGGCTCAGACACTCCTAAGCTTGTCTGAGATACCATGTTCATGTCATACTTTCCAGGGTTATTGAAATCTAGAGGAGAGACTGGATCCTATCCTGTTGTGGTGTAGCAGCATCAGTGCACTGTTCAACAGCAGCTGTTCAGGTACTTAAATTGGTTTATTCACAGCCATTGCCGTACTGCATTGTAATCTACACAGCAGGAATCAGTGTGGGGGAGAAAAAAAATCTCAGCATGGAAAAGGTGATAGTTAAAAAAAAAAAAAAAAAGTCAAAAGTTATTGATTTTACTCGTTCACGCTTATTTTGTCATAGATGTTATTTACTCACAGTTTTATGGCCACATGCATACAAGTACCAAGAGCTACCTGTCCAAGCATCCTGATGTATAACATGAGGGACAAGGGTTTGCTGATACTGCTGAATTCTCATCATATCTCTGGGTTACTTTTGAGTAGTGATGGCTAATTAGTTTTTGGACAAATCCTTTTCTATGTTTGTGTTCTTAATGCGTTAATAGCAAAACAAATGTCACAATAGGTTATGCAGCAACCTTGTTGCCTTCTTTCTATTCTCCAAGCAAAGTTCTTTGAAGCAGTGAATATACCGAGAGGACCAAAGAACATGGAAAATAAATTTCTAAGAGCCATCTATCTTTGGTAGGCTTGCAATAAGGATAGAAAATGATTGATTACATGATTCCAGGCTTCTCTTACCTGACAGGTATCTGTGTAACAATTAGTAGTCCCAGCACAGAAATTAAAGTTTCTAACAGGTTCATCCAAAAATTCAGAGCTACTGCATACCTTATTTTCAGTTACAGTGACTGTGATTATGTCTGTTTTAGGACACAATCTCCACCTGTATAATTTTAAATAAACAATTAAAAAAAAAACACCCACAAACAACCAACTCCCAAAAGCCTACACCTTAAAATACAGAATCAAAAGTTCTGTACTGAGTGGAGCTCTTATTCTCTAACCTTATCTCCCATTCTTTATTTGAATCAGTGAGACCTCTTCACAGGCTTCAAGATGGAATCTTCGTAAATGATTTAGTAAAGGGTATCAGAAAACATTTTATTTGGAAGTGGCAGGGTGAAGGAAGTTTACATGTATTTTAAAAGCTTAAGTTATTAAACTTAAGCTTGGAAAAATCTACCCAAATCAGAAGTGAAGTAGTGATAGAGAAGACAGTGGTCTTCTGGTTGCTAGAGTGATTGTTGCAAGCTTAGAGAAATATCACTCCATATCAGTACAAAAATAAGACAAATTCTCATCCTGGAGAAACATCTTATGTGGGCTCAGTATGAAATTTGGATCAAAGGCTGAGGAAAGAATGGTTCTGATTTTGAATTTCTATTCAATTCTTTGTACAGTGAGTTTCCAGCTAGAAAGTTTGGATACTGAACTGAGCTTTTTGCTAAATGCTAGCTGTTCATAGATGGGGCTCTAATTCTCAATATTTTTTTGCGAATGGGGCAGAATCTTCACTTAAATATCACACAACCTCGCCAGAACAAATTTGATTTAATACCTGTTTCTTCTCTTTTGGTGAATGCTGTAAATAGCCACTTAGAAGAAGGTAACGTTTCCAGTTTGGAGCCAAACTGTGTACAAAAGAGATAAGGAATTTGAGAAATGGTGTACTGTAAGACACAATGGCACACAATGAGCACACAACTGTGCACATCATGTTTTTATACATCCCTGAAGCTCCGTCTTTTGTGGTTTTATTTGAAAAATGAAGTTACTGCACAACTGCAAAATCTCAGTCTGAAGAGTTGTGTTTAGGTTAGCTGGGAGGACTGTATGGCTCAAAATCTTTGGTAACTTGGAATCTGCCTGGGCCACTATGAGCTGAGGTCTCCAAGGGTCAAAACTATTATCTATATGGTCAGTATCTTTACTAGTGACCCAAATGATGTACCTGACTTTACTATCATCAAATTTGAGGATGACATTGAAGTAGGGGAGTGCTGATCCGACATCTGCACCAGGGATACAAGAAGCCTTTGTGTTGGGAAGAAGCTTGTTGAGAAGGATGTCACAAAAAGAGCATGCGAGTTGTGGAGAATATGGGATGAATATCAGACAACAGCATGTTCTCTGTAGGAATAAGGCACATTGCATATTGCAGTGCCTTAAAAAGAATTAGGAAGCAGAACAAGGGAGGTTTTGTCCCTTTTTATCCAGAGCTGATGATGCTGTATCTGAAATCCTGTGTCTGACTGTGAGTCATCAGTTCAGGAAGCAGTCTGAGAATGTGAGGAGAATCCAGATGAGCCAACCAATTCATTTAGGACATATAGTATGTGGCCATTGAGAAGAGACTGAGAGAGTTGGGCTTGTTCAGCCTTACAAAGAGGAGAGTAATAGAAGATCCTGTAGTGGCCTACAACTGCTTGAAGGAGATCAGCAAAAGTAACTAGGACAAACTCTTCTTGGTAATACCTGACAAGATAACAAATCAAAATGGTGACACATTTGCTTTGATAGTTTGATTTGCAGATGAGGAAAAAAATTAATGAGAAGGGTGCTGCAGCATAGAAGAGAAGTCCCAGGGAAACTGTGGATTACCCATACTTAGAGTTTTTTGGGCCTTGGTGAAGCAAAGTCGCTCCTGATCGGACCTGTTTTTAGTGGTTCAGCTACGAAGAGTTATATATAAATCTATGGTATTGACATAATTACCACACTTGAAGATTTCTTAGCATTCCCAAGTTTTCTGAAAGTCTGTTAGGCAACACCAAGGGCCATTAACATCTTCATCAGGATTTCTACAGTACTCTTAAAATTAATGAAGAACACAAAACCTCAATTCATGTTTTCCTAATTTCTATTGCTAATATAAAATCTAACTTTTGAACAGGTTTTTTTTACATTCTCTTTTATGACAAATTCATCTTCTGAACATATGCTTTATTTATCTCAAAACCATTAATTTGTAAGAAAACATAATAAGCATAGGAAAAAACTTACTCAGCAGAGGCAGGCAGAAGATGCGGCATTTTAAGTGCTCCTGAGAAGCAGAACAAGACAGAGATTGGGATTTTCCTAATTGTTGGTCCTGTCTTGATACCTGTTAATTCAGTGGAATTCAACTAGGTCACTGCTGAGAATTCCTTAGACTAGATCTAGGAACACTTAGTCCAGTTTTTGTAGTACTAGAAAAGCTGAAAAAGTTATTGATCTGATATATGCATTGTAACTCATATTTTGAAAAGCTGAAGAGCATTAAATTTTCATTTGCGTGGATGGTACACGCATATCATATCTCATTGGTGCTTTAAATAGTAGTGTCCAGGTAAAGTGCAAAGTCCTCTATGTCTTCTGCTTGTCTCCTCTGCTAGATCTGAAGAGAGTGAGAAGATTTCTAGTTATTGTGGATTTTTTTAAACTATTTTATAGGCTTTTGTGGATAAACATAGGGATGAACAGGTTCATACTGCAGAGTTGAAAAGCAGTTTCATTGAGAGAGAAATGTAGCAAACGTTTATGTTTGGAAGGCTAGAAATATCAGGTTAATATTGTATCCTAATATATAAAATATTAATGTTAATATTAATAGGTTAGAAGTCTGAATGTTGGATCAAGATCTTTCCTAGATTGATGTTAGTGCATTGTCTATCTTGCTATTTACCCGTATTCCAGTCAAATCCACATTCTACCAGTTCCTTTAGAGTTCGAGAAATAAGTCATAGGGAAAATTAATCACACAACAGCACAAATCAAGCAGAAGATTGAAAATGAAACACCAGAGCAATTGCAGACTCTGCTTGGAATAAGACGTGTTCAAGTGTGCTAGAAGAAGAAACAGAATTGCTGAGGAACTTTTTGGGCTAAATTCCAAGATAGATGGAAATGAGCAGATGGAAGTATTTTATTCTCTCCTGCTTACATGAAGAAGTTTTTTGATTGATGATGTTCTGAGAAAATATTGCTTTGTTAAAAATACCAGTTCAAAGACTATGTTGATTTGTTATCAATGTGCTGTTATCAATCATCACATATACTACAAAAATATTCAGAAGGCTCCATTGTGCTGTTTAGGATGAAGTTAGAGTTCGTGACCCATTTCAAAGTAAAAATGTACTAAGTTCCTGTTCTCTACAAATATTTCATATTCTTTGCCATCCAACAGATCAAAAGATATTGTTTGTAATCTCTTCATTTTAAGTTTTTCATTTTCAAATTTACACCATCCAGAAGAATCGCACATAATTTTTAAAACTGAAGTTTAGATTCAGATAGCTCTCAATATTATAAGAGGCAGGGATCTGGGTGTGTGCACATTTGTAGGTGTATTATAAGCTCAAAAATGGCTCCTGCAAAGCTTTGCAAAGGGTACTCAGTATCTTGCAGCACTATGATCTAATCTTGTCTTACCTTTTTTCTTTTCAGAACGTGACTGGCCATTGCAACACTTCACCATATGTGACACCATCAGACTATCACTACCTGGATCTCAGCAATAATTCTCTCTCAAATACCCAGAAATGTAAGTATGATGCACCTTGGCTCATGAAGCCCTGCAAATATGTGTGGGAACATTTCACAGAACAGATGATGTGTAAAGTACAAAAATAGTACTAATTTGTTTCTTTACTATATATTATGGAACATAGATCTTTACCAAGTGAAAAGAAATAACTGTTATTTTCTCCACCTTAGTTCAGAACAGTGATGAAGTGTCCAGCATCTTCATAGCTAGAAAGCTTTCACGATAAGAAAGAAAATTAAATCTGTTGATCAAAAATGTGTAATTTGTTATAGAAAAGAAAACAGGAGATGAGCTCCTATTAGGATTGAACAGGGATTAATGTGGGAAGCAGTAATGGATTTGAAGAAAAAATGAGAGATGAGCGGACTGTAGAAGGCAGAACTCTCTTTAGTTATATTGGTTTCATCATTTCCATTGCAGTTTGCAACTAAGGGTAGACCTGATAGCCATTGTGATTGCTTTGTCATGTAAAACACATTCTTGACCATTGGTAAATATTTAAGCTGTTTAATTCTTCCCTCTATTACTCTCTGAAGCACTTTAAGGACTATTACAGCTCTTCAATGTTTATAAAGAGATACTTTTGGAGAGCAGTCAGCTATTTTACCATATTCATGAATGACTATTCTTGAGCATGTTCTCAAAGAGTAATGACAACTCTTAAATTTTTAAGGGCAATTTAAAGGGACCTTCCTCATTTATACTTAGTCTGCAATTTGAGTTTTGTGGGGGGAAAAAAAAGACATCTTAAAAGTTTGGACTTTTTTTTAAATCAAACATATTATTGTGGTTTAACTCAGCAGGGTCACTCAGTTGTTCATTCTTCCCAGTGGGATAGAGGAGAGAATCAGGAAAATAAAACAAAGTAGAACTCTTGGGTTGATATAAAACTATTTACTGTGATAGAGAAAAGGGAAAATAAAGTAGTTATGACTATATTTATATATATTTATATGTGTATATATATGAATGTATATACCAAGTGATGTGCCAGCATTTGCTCACCATCCCCCAGACAATGCCCAGCTAGCTCCTGAGCAGTGGAAGAGAGCAAGATGAACTTCCACCCCCTTCAAAATTCTGCTTCCATGTAATGTCATATGGTATGGAATATCCATTTGGCCAGTTTAAGTCAGCTATCCCAATTTTGTTCTCTCCCAGCTCCTTGGACCCTTTGCTGAGAATGTCCTTGGCTCTGCTTAGCAGAAATGATGAATATTGGCGTGCTATCAACATTGTTTTTCTCCTAGAACCAAAAGCGTAGCATCATACCAGACACTGAAGAAAAGAATTCCATCCCAGCTGAAACTAAGATACACATTCTCTTCTACTTTTAAGTACTGGAAGGCAACTATGGGGAAAGGGTAGAACAACAGGCTAACACAACATAAAAATGCAAAAAAAAACCCTCATATCCCTTTGGGGAATTCCTTGCTGTTCTACAGTGATACATCATCAGTAAGCTCCAGGTTTGGCTTGTTTTTTTCAATGGTAATTAAAGGAGATGTCCCATTGTGGTATCTCTCTCAATACCACTCCTTTACACTGGAAGACTGCATTGGCATATCTGCATCTGTAATAGGCAACTGAAGTGAGTTACTTAATTTTAGTGTGTCTAAATTTATAAATTAAAACAAACAAATAAACAAGCAATAACTTTTGGAAATAGGTAAAAGTTAGAAAATTCAGACAGATTAGTAAGCAGTTGCAGGAATATTTGAGAATAAAGACCAGAAGGCATTTCAAGGGTATTTGGAAAGACTTCATGTACCAGATGGTATCTGGCAAGAACATTTGCATTTAAGCTTACTTTTGCACACCAAATCTGTTTTTCATTAGGGAAGGAAAAGTTTCACATGCAGATCTAAAAATTCATAAAGTGTATTTTTTCATGAGTTTGATTTGAGAGATTAATGCTCAATGAGGAGGTGGGTGGTGTCTTTCAGCAGTGGTGACAGTGCACCTCCACTGGTGCAGATTTTTAAGAGTGCAGCATGCAGGCTCTTGTTCAGTGGCTGGTGAAAACGCATAGCTAATGCTGTTGACTGTGCTGAAAAATAGTGTTTTGTAGCTGAGAATTTGCTGTATCAAATACTGTTATTGTGCTTTCTTATCTGTTGTAGTTTCCACAGAAATAACTAGGAAGCATTATTTTTCAGAGCGATCTATGTGTAAAGCAATGAATTTGAGTCATTGTTAATTCTCTCAATGTCTAATCCAAATTCCTTATGATTTTCAAAACAATCTCAGTTCAGCTGCTCATACATTTTTGCTCATAAAGATGTGCATTCTAACTGGTTTAAGCTGAATGGAAGAGAGTTTCAGTGGCATAAATACTCAGGTGGGAGTGAGACTCGGGTTGAATCTCTAAGCAGCAGCAAGAAAAGGAAATATGGCTTTCCTGTCTGACAAGGACTTCAAAACAAACAAACAAAAAATATTGATTTTAAGACATAATTGATATGCATTATCCTGGTTTGAAGACCATTCCTTTATAAGAGGAATGGTGCAGGAAAAACAAACCAGTCTAACTGTCCTAGAAATACATTACAAAACTGTACAAAATATACTGACGTGCTTGTTAATGTATCTTAAAAACGCAACTGCAGATTTAAAATAGACATATTTACTGTCTAAATGACCACACTATCATATTTGGTGTTACATGAGATCTGATCATGCATTGTGTTCACTGAAATGTTCAGTCTAAATACCCAAAGCTTTTAGAGATGCACTAAAAACTAACATACATTAAAAAATACATTTCCATATTACTTAGAATTTTATAAATCCACATATGTTTCTTTGGAAAACAAATCCTCCAGCACCTAGGCAATTGAAAACAACATTTTAATCTGTGACATCAATTTTGCTCCTACTTCTTGTAAGCAATAAGATAGTAACTACAAAGTTACCCTGGATTACAGGACATTCATTCGTTGGCACACTTGCACCAGTCCCTACAAAAGACTTTTCTCAAAGATGAGATGAGAGCTACAGATTCTCTTAATTCGCTACAGATCTTTAATGTGGAACAAATTTACTAACGGTTGTGATTTAAATATACATGTTGCAAGTGCCAGTCAAGCACCTTAATGAACATCCTTCCCTTCTGGCAATCCTGAGCTATCATGGGTCTGATGCTCTTACAGCACCTGTGGCAGTAGATCAGCAAATCTGAAAATCACGACCTGATTTTGCTAATTTGAATGTAATTCATAAAGATTTTACCAGAGCATAGAGATACAAGAGAAAGAACTCTGCCTTTGCTAATTCCCATTTTGGTGCAGCTGGCTGAGGCTGAAAGCTTTGTGTCAGTGCACAACACTTTACTGATTCCCACTGGAATTATGGATCAACAAACAAGTTTGATAAATGAAGTTAATCATTTTCTTAGTTCCAATCTCCATTTTTTTAATTTCCAAACATTACCTTGGAACCAAGAACTTACAGAATAATATTTACATGTTTGTACTGAGTAATGAGAAAAGTAAAGACACTCTCATCTTACTTAACATGCTGTTATTCTGAGATTTTTATGCATCGTTTTATCTAATTAAAGATGTAGATAACATTGCTGGAAATTAAGGGCAATGTCTCTGTAGAATCTCAGATTCTGCATGTTCAATCTCCACTGTCTGTGTTATGAAAGGGCTACAAAGAAGATAAGGAATGAAGGACTGAAAAGGACCTTCAGTCTACTTCCCTGTAATTGGAGAATTGTACCTTGCTATCACATGTGCAAAATTATCAAAGTCCAGTGTAAATTTGTGTATGTTGAAAGCTGATCTCCTACACGCTATTCCACCAGGAAGGCTGTTCTTAACCCTTGCGGCTCTGGAAAACCCATGAAAACAAGAAGTGATGTAGACAGAGAAGGAGTTGGATGAACTGTCATTTGCAAGACTGTGAAATCTCACAGGATTTCGAGTGAATAGCTTCTAGCCAAAGATCTCCTAACAGCAGCTTGTTTGCTTGGAAAACTATCTGAAAGCACCTGGCAAAGCCTAGAACTACACTAGTCTCCTTACGGCAGACTCTGCCTGGAGTCCCAGCAGCAGATTAAAACCAAAATTTCTGCTGTGGAAGTTCTTAGCTCTGCAGACAAAAAAAGAAAGGCCGTAGTCTAGGGAGATAGCTGACAGCTGAAAGGCATAAGTGGTTATAGTCATCACAGATGGGGAAAAAATCCTAAGCAGAGAGAAAAAAAGCTGTTCAGTTGTCCTTAGGCTTGACAATACTTTGCATGCTGCCATTTTCAAAAAGAAGTGAAGACACTGAAAAATGTACAGTGGTACTGGCATTTGACTTCAGAGGTCCCATCTCTTCACCAGTAAGACTTACCAACACTCATTGTTCATGGTCCTGCTGTTTGATAAGACAATTAATGTTGGCCATGTTCAGGTACCCATGAGGACAGGAAGAGCTCTTCACATTATCTTTACAAATTGGAGGAATAATGGAGAAAGAAATGAAGGCCTTAATTTTATCCAGACAAAACAGTTATGGAAATACAATTGGAAAATAGCTAGCTGCGTGACGGTAGTTCAGAAAAAGTGATTGAATATTCCAGTTGTTCATAAGATGAGGAGGGCTTGGGATCAAAACTATACAGTTTTGGCATAGAACTTCCAGTTTGGAGAGGCCATTAAGAATCATCAATTATCTTGAAATACTACCTGTGAGGCAAGCTGCAAGAGGTATATTTTTTGTAGTCAAGAGAAAACTTGCAATTCTTTGGTAGGCTTCATAGAAACCTTCAGAAGATAAAAGGGTCTGTGCTCATAATGAATAATCTTAAAGTTTGAAGGACTCAAGATAAGTGTGAAAAGCAACCTGCTATGTCAGAACACGAAAGCCTTGGAGTAGAACATCTGAAAAGATGTCTTAAGGGCAGGTTAGACAACATTTGATAAAACTGATACGGACGAAGTCGCTCTGTTGCAGGACAGAAGGTTAGAGCAGATAATTCTATTTTTCTCTGAAACTTTCTATAGTTGTGGACCTCCGCTCTTTTTGCTTTCAATAGTCCATGACAATCTGTCATATAGCACTTGGAACAAGGGTATGTCAAATTCCATTGCTAGTTCCAAAGCAGATGTCTTTTTGTCTCTACTCACTTTTCCATTTTCCTGTTCTGGTTTGAAGCTCAAACTCCAAAGTTTGCACCTTTGAAAAAAGTTTAGATCTTGTTGAATAGTTTTCAAGAAGCCCAGCTCTATGTTTTAAAACTCTATAATAATACAAATTTCTTATTCTACATGCTCATTTTGCCATTTTGATGTTTCACCTTCTCTGTATTTACAATATAGCAAGTGTTCTTAAATATTTAAATGTTAAAGTATTACTGGCATTATAGATACAAGGGAAATTAAATTAGCAGAAATAAATAAGGTGTGCCTCTGAATTTGAGCTTTGAAATGGACAGCCAAAATGGCTTTTTTTTTTTTTTTTTTAACTATAGTCACCAAGTTCAAATAGCAAAGGCTGGGATTAAAACAGGCAATAAATAATATGAAATGAAGATGTGAAGATGAAGTTGCTCGCTTGCTGTCTGTAGTATTCTGAAGTGGAGCAGAATGCAGAGACTTTTGAAGCTTTTTAAGGGTAGGGATAGGAACAGCAAGACAAATTCAAGTTAAAGTAATAAACCAGTAAGTATGCAGATAAATTTATAAAAAGTGTAGGAAAGTATTCCAGTGGCAAGTATTTTAATTGTGTTTTTGAACTGATAGGATGGATTTGGAATTAAAAAGTTATTTAATGATATATAGAAAGTTCCTAGAAGCTTTCAACAGCATGAATTTTGAACTTTGGCTCAAAAATGTTCAGATGCTTTTGGCTGAGTAGAAGCTGCTACCTGCAGCAGGAGGAATACTTCAGTGGATGATGGATTATCTGAAACTCCATACCTGTTCCCCACAGCATGCAGTGAGGCCAAGTGGCAGCGTAATTTGTGAGGAATATACAGGAACACCTTCTTGTGTCCTGTTCCTACTAGAAAAGAAATGCAGAACAGAACTGAGATAAAGTTAAGATACTAGGTAAACACTAATTTCTAACTAGTCTATAACTACACACCTATCAGATTCACTTTCCAACTGAGAGATAAACATTTGGAAACAGTTTGTCTGACTAAACATACAAGACTACTTTGGGATGAGCCACACTCTAGGAATTATTATTTTTCTCATTTATTACAACACAACTTTAGTGAGATGAGCTTAGGAGGAGACATCTACACTATAGATCTTTGCATTTAATCAGATAAATACGTCTACAGTGTGTATAGTCCAATTGAAAGAGAGCTTGCTTCACTTCCATTTGTTCTTAAGAATATGCTTAACAAGCGTTCCTTCCATGTTGACATACTCACTGCTAATAGGATGGGAAAAACAATGAACCTTTGAGCAATTCATACAATTTTCCATGCAAGTGGCATTCATATACACTTTGAGAGAGTTTACCCATTTTTCACATTACTGATACATTCATATCATGAAAACAGTTTCTGTTTTAATCTACTCAATTTTTATATTTATAATGGATCACTTTGTTCTTTTTCTCATTTAGTCTTTATTGTCATATTATTAACATTCATTATATTCCTATGTATTCCATATTATAATTCATTTCTTATGCACAAATCAAACTAAAAGTGCTAAATAAACTATATTTCATTCAAAACGTACATAGAGTCAAAGAATCATAGAATCTTTTATGTTGGAAAAGGCTTTCAAGATCACCAAGTTTAACCATAAATTTGACCTACCAATCCTATCTAATGAAATCACCAAATGGTACTCTAATCATGAGGAGTTGTCACTGATTTTAGTGGAGCTAAAATATCCTCAACATTGTGATAAAGACAGCTGAACAGACTTCAAAATGTACCAATGTAAAAAAAAATAACTGAATAATACTTGGTGTATTTGCAGTGCTATATCAATATAGCAATTGCTTCCTTTTTTACATTTACGAAATCATTATTATGTGTCAGTTAGCAATAAGACTACTTTCTTTAGAAAATATCTGCTACTAAAAGTATGGCACCCAAGTCTAAACTAATACACACTTGTAAAATTCAAGTTAGTACACTGAAGTCTCCTGGCTGTTATCATCCATCTTTTTTTCCTTACAATAGCAGAACACAATGCTGCTATTGAAAATACATATACTGATACTAAAACAGCTAGTGCGTTACTTGCAATCCTTTTGTGGATAAACTGAGTTTATTTATGTTTCAAGATGTCTTCAGTCAGACCTGAATTAACAACTAAGATAAATATCTCAATCGTATTTTTAATCTATGCTGTTAATGCAAAGGGTACACACAGTATTCAGAAATGACCTACCTCTTTCTGAAATCCCTACAATGCTTATTTCAGTAACCAAGTCTGAGGAGAAAAAGAAAATACTCTAAGTACATGTTTTCCAGTGGAAACATGTACACAAATACACATTTTCTTGTCTTTTCTGTAGCAGGCACCTTGTGGAAGGTGTAAGAAAGCTTCTTTCAAGGAAGAAAGAGATCTCTTAATTTAAGGCTGCACACCAAGATTAACACAAATACCACTGAATTTCATTGAAATTCTTTCATTTCAAGAGGTACACTTTATAAAAAGAAAAAAAAAAACCCACTTTGTTATTGTGCACAGTCTGTTGTTTACTACTGAAAACTGAGATAACAAAGATCATGGCTCAAGAATGTATAACAATAATGCAAAACTCTTCCTTCTTCACAAATAGTTTTAATTGTCATGAAAGGAAAGCAAAAATAGGAGTAAAATGCATGTATCTTCAAATTGATCTGCCTACAATTTACAAAATATTTTACTGTGGTTGCAATTATCTCAGCATTATATAACACATGTAGGAGTCTTTTATCCTTAGGCAGCAAAAAGTCCTACGGCATATGTATAGACGTGATCTGAGATCATACTTCAATTTTGGCTGAAGATAGTACAGGAACTTTCTTGCTGTTGAATCTCCTTTGGTCTTCAGATCAGTCAGAAGGATTGAAGTCAAAGTAAGCTATGCATGGAAACTGAATTTTCATTGATCCAATTCATCCTTGGATCTTATTACATTTCTGTATGAATTTCCTTTTAAAGTTATGCTATTCTGTGAATGTCTGGAAGTGCGCTGCTTATGACATTTTATTTGGAAAAAATAAGGGTATAACAGCACAACGTACAGCATTATAATGGTATTAGTGACCACAATGTCACTCATATGCACACTGAGCTAATTCTCAACTCCTTCACTATTTCCTCACCCATGTCATTGATCTAAATTTATCCAGAGCTGGATCACTCCCATAACACTAGTTGTGCCTTGGTAACTTGAACCACTTTGCAACAATAAACGGAGTAAACAACGGGAAGGGTATGACCAAAGATAAGAAAGTTCAAGGTCTTCTTGCAGTTTGGGAGCCATACGACTAAGTAATTCACACTTGTTTTATGTCCCTAGTAATTTATAATCAAAATGATAAACGTTCAGAATTGCTCTTCCCTGAATTCATCCTACTGTTGAGATTGAAGAAGTTTGACCTTAGTAGATGTTTTGGAATGATCCTGCTTCAATAACGTAGATAAGAAAATAGGAAATGTTATGAAAACAGTACACCAAAAATACAGCTTTCATGACAATTTGAACCAGAAGAAAACATTACCAAGGCCAAGTTTCCATTAACTAGCCAAGGTGCATTAACATTTTATTCAATTTGCAAATAAAATCTGATTCTACAAAGATCCCAGTAAGAACAGCAAACTGAAAATGTAAAGCTTATGATGAGACATATAACAGAGAAAGACAAAAATTCAGAATAATTTATCAATAAGAAATATAGTTTGGCCTTGTTTTGCTGACTTCAAACACATATGCACATGCTTTTCCTTAAGGGTTGCCAACCCGCTAGCCAGACACAGCTTCTGCAGCTCAATGTTCATCCAATTAGAGATTCCCTTTCCATTACTAAGTTATTCAGTGTTCCCCCTTTTGACACTGTGCTTCTGTACTTCGTTGGGTCTGCAGGGGTAGCCTTTTAACACACAACACAACACTTTGAAGCACTCTTAAGAAGAGCAGTTAAGAACCTAACCGTAGTATTTTGGCTACAGGCAGCTTCTGCACAACACTTGCAGGCCTTATCCAAAGACTAAACACACGAAAACTATGGCAATGACCTATTTCCATCAGCCTCCAAAGACTTTCTGCTAAGCTTTTTGTTGTCAGGCGTGTATGCCTTAGAAGTGTTTTACAAATCCGTGAAGGAAAATAAGGGTAGAGAATGAATAAAATGAAATGACAGTATTTTTAGACATGAAAATGGAAAATTAGACACATAGCTTCCATTTTAAATTAGTTTTGTTAGGGTAGGAAAAATCTTTTCAATACCCAACTCTTCACACATTCTTGGACTGGCTTGTTAAATGCAGCCAGCAGCAAATCACGATCTTGTGAAATATGAGTACCTGCAAATCTCAATTCCATTGTGGACACGTACGCACATTATTTCCTTTGCTACTCTGCATTTTTTCCTCTGATATCTGATGTTTCATAGTTCTCTATTGAGAAAAATATTGTAATGACAGTGAAAAAGGAGTAGCGTAACAGTCATGGGGTGTGATGTAATAACAGTAGGCACAGTATTGCTCACAATATCGCAGTGTTCA